CTATACATTGCTTGTATAAATGAACAAGAAACTACTGCCTGTTCAAAAACAGAACAAGAAGGCTTGCTAGTTGAAAATAAAGAAGAAAAAGTAATAAACTGGCATAAAAAACTGGGACACATTAATACAAGAAGCATGCAAAAAATGATTGAAAAAGACATGGTCACTGGATTAGACATCAATAAAAAAGATTGTGAGTGTTTTGAGATTCCATGCGAAATATGTTTGCGAGCAAAGCAAGTAAGATTTCCTTTCGATAATAATAGAACCAAAGCAACCAGGCAATTAGAAATTATTCACACTGACTTATGTGGTCCAATCGATCCAACTACTTGGGATGACAAAAACTATATTTTGACAATATTAGATGACTACACACACTATGTAGTTATTTATTTGCTCAGATGTAAAAATGAAGTGACAGAATATGTTAAAGAATATGTCGAAGAAATGGAAGCATCTCAAAATTTAAAAGTAGCAAAACTGAGGAGTGACAATGGTGGCGAGTACGTTAATAAAGAATTAATAAACTGGTGTAAGAAAAAAGGCATAAAAATGGACACAACAATACCTTACACACCTCAACTGAATGGCAAAGCTGAAAGGCTAAATCGTAATTGATGGAAAAATCCAGGTCCTTGATATTCGACTCACAACTAGATAAAAAATTTTGGGGCGAAGCCGTCAGAGTCTCAGCTTATATTTTGAATCGAAGCCCAACAGAATCTCTTCAAAAAACCCCATATGAAATGTGGACAAATAAAAAGCCGGACTTATCAAGAATGCAGATTTTTGGTATCGATGCATATGCAAAAATTTTGGGATACTTGAAGAAGTTAGATGAGCGAAGTGAACGTTTTGTTTTTGTTGGATACGGACTAAACGGATATAGACTATGGGATGAAAGAAGACAGGAAATAATAGTAAGAAGAGACGTTGTATTTAAAAAGAAACCAAATAATAATCAGACAAAAACCCATAAAATAAAATTTGAAGATGAAGATACTAAGAAAAATGAAAACCAAGAACAGAATGAAGAAGAAAACCGAGAAGAAAACCAACATGAAAATGACAATGAAGAAATTTTGGAGGAAAACGACCAAGAATATAATGATGAAGATACCAGCGAGTACGAAAGCGAAGAAGGCAAATTTTTGGGACAAGGCACTGAAGACAAACGAGGAAGAAAAATAACTTTACCAAAAAAATATGAAGACTATGTTTTACTAACATACAATGAGGCAATAACTTGTGAAGAAAATAAAAAATGGCAACAGGCAATTAATGAAGAAAAAGAGTCTTTAGAAAGCAACAACACATGGGAATATGTAGATAGAGAAAAAGCCAATGGAAAGAAGATATTAAGCAACAAGTGGGTGTTCAGAATGAAGGAAGATGGCAAATTTAAAGCAAGATTAGTTGTACGAGGATGCCAACAAGTAAAAGGCCTAGATTATGAAGAAGTATTCAGCCCAGTAGTGAATGTCAGCTCGTTGCGTTCCTTGTTGTCCTTATCAGTACAGAAAAACTACAACATAAATAAGTTTGACATAAAAACTGCGTTCCTTTATGGGACATTGAATGATGAAGTGTTTATGGAAATTCCTGAAGGCTATAGAAAGCAAGAGAATAAAATTTGTATTTTGAAGAAGGCATTATATGGACTAAAACAAGCTCCGATGAGATGGAATGAACATTTTACCAATTTTCTAAGAGAAAGTGGACTAAACCCATTAAGTGGTGAACAATGTATATTTAAAAACAAAACTGGTACAATGTTTTTGGCTATTTATGTAGATGATGGACTTATAGTGGGCGAAAATCAAGAAGAAACAGATAAATTGATAGATAAATAAATTGGAAGCAAACTTTGAGATGAAGAAATTTGATAATGTAAAAACTTTTCTGGGAATAAATATTACAAGAGGTGAAAACTGGATGAAACTCGATCAAGAAAACTATATAGATACAATTCTAGAAAGATTCAACATGAAAAATGCCAAAACATCAATGATCCCAATGGTAAATATCATCGAAAAAACGACCAGCGACATGGACCAAACAATTAATTTTCCCTATCGAGAGGCAGTTGGCAGTCTTTTGTATTTGTCAAATAAAACTCGACCAGACATAGCATTTTCAGTGGGTTATGCAAGCAGTAGCATGGAAAATCCGACCAAAGCAGATATTAATAATGTCAAGAGAATTATGCGTTACCTAAATGCTACAAAAAGTGATGGGATTGTCTACCGAAGAAATGAAAATCAAACTAAAATGACAGCTTACAGTGATGCTGATTTTGCAGGGGATAATAGAACAAGGAAAAGTACAACTGGATATGTAATCTACTACTGTGATGGACCGATTAGCTGGTGCTCAAGGAAACAACCTGTGGTAGCTTTATCAAGTACCGAAGCCGAATTTATTTCAGCGGCAGAATGCGTGAAGGAAATACTGTTTTTACGAGCATTATATGAAGAATTATTATTGACTAGTGAAATTGACGTTGAACTAAAAATGGACAATCAAAGTGCTATGAGCATTATTAAAAATGGACAATTCAACAAAAGAAGTAAACACATAGATGTGAGGTTTCATTTCATAAATGAGAAAATTAAAGAAGGTTTAGTGAAAATCCAATACTTGTGTTCAGAAAATATGATAGCAGATATTTTCACTAAGGCTTTGAATAATATCAAGTTTTTGAAACATAAGAAAATGTTAGTAGGGTAAGTTTGTTTGTTGTATTACCTATAAAAATGTTAATTTTGTAATGTAGGAATTTATTTTTGTTTTTTTTTTGTTTTTTTATAATTATTGGGACAAGGTGTTAAAGTAAACAATAATTATAAAAAAGAATGTTTTGATTTAAATAATTAAGCAAGGGTCAGATAGATGGCGCTGAGCGGATTTTTAGCTTTTAAGATCTTGTGTTTTTTGGTTTTAAGGATAAGGAATATGTCAGATGTCATGTTTGTCAAGTCAAGTATTTTTTAAGCGGGAATAATGCTCCCATATGTTCGGTTCGACAAATAATAACAATAAAAAATTAGTTCTTCGAAATTAATGGATTTTATTTAAATAATATAAAATAAAGTAAAGTAAAAATCTATTCACATCAACACTGATGATGGCCCTTCACTAGGCCGAAAGCGCTCGGTTAATACTCAATAAAGAAATTTACACCTTTACACTAAATTTGCCTTTTCTTTCGGTATTAGGTTAGGAAAACTAATCAGAAGAATCATAGATGTCGCCAGTTGTACGAAATAGTATTTTTTGATATTGTTTAAATGAGTCCAAAATATATGAAAATAATTAAGAACAATAATTATATTGTTGTGACATTTCAAATGTTACAAAATTTTGATTAAAGGAGAAAAAATTGATATAGTAATTATAGCAGAAACATGGGAGAAGAAACAAGAAATTCAATACTACAACTTTAAAAACTTTGAAAGTATTTATGCAACAAGAAAAAAAGGAGGAGGAGGTTTGGGTATATTTATCAAAAATAATTTAAATTTCAAAATAAAAGAAATATCATTCTCCTACATATGTTTAAAAATAACAGAACCAAAACTAATTATATATATAAACCATCAAAATTTAATATGAATAACTTTTTACAATTTATTAATGAGAAACTTGAGAACATTTTCTTCAATTTAATTGACTATTTAATAATATTATTTTTTATTATATAGGATTTTATCATATTTTAATCAAGGCTTTATTTGAATCAAATTTTTTTTTATACAATTATTATGGTTGTTAAATTTTATTTTTATTTTTTAAATTTTTTTAAATTTTTTTTCCCTGTAATAAGCGTTAAGTTTGTTGGGAAATAAAAAGAAAGAAAGATAAATTTCGGCGGTTGTGACATCACAAGTTCCTGCATAATTTATCTTCACAAGGAATTTTCTCGGAGACCATTTTGAATATGGGACTGCGGTTTTCACGAGAGATCTTAGAATTTTTTTCTTGATTTAAGTAGCTTAAGTCGTCACACCCCCTTCAGGGTCAATGCGAAGGCCTGTTCGTTTTCAACCATCAAAGAATCAAGTCGATTTTTTTTAAGGTCTGTTAGCATTGTAGTGCATAAAATAGTGACGTTAGAGCTGAAAGTGTTTTGAAACGGTTTTTGAAACCGATTCCTCGAAAAAAAAAGCCTTTAAGCCAGGAATGATGACAACCACGTTATCAATGACAATGACACCAATCATAATCTTATTGGATTTGCTGAGAATAATGCTGATGAATAATGCAAGAGACTTGTAGCAAGAATCTTGCAACAATGACGTCACAAAACAAATAATGCAAGAACAAGAAATTGCAAGAAATCTTGTTTGCAACACAAGATTTTTTTCGGGCAAGACATGAATAGGCCCAGCAAGACAAGAAATCTGGTCTTGTGAAACACTATGACAGTCTGCTAGCAGCGCCACCCTCGACGAAGTTTGGATAAAAAAAAAAGAACCAGGACGAAAACGAAGGCAGTACGGAGAGAGACTCGAAAGTGCAAGTACGCTCGTTTTCAGTTACAGAGCGTAATAATTCAGCAACCCCCAGCCCTTCTTCAATTTTCATACCCTGAGTGGGTTTTATTTCAATTAAATTTGTTGATAAGTTCAGACCAGCCTTTTTTTCTCATTCCTAAACCTACAGTCCACTATTTAGCACATTCCAGATCAAGTTAAAGGCAACCTCTGCAGAATATCGAATAAATTTTGGACCAGAGAGCCATCGTAGGCTAACCAGAATAAGTGAACGAACCAACACATAGAATTAGAATTATAATTCCATTCCATAATTTGTAAACGGGATTGTTAGAAAATGATAAATCTTTCGTACAGTCCATTGTCGTCGTCGTTTTTATTAATTTTTAACTAACTCATATTTTTTTGTCTGTTTTAATTATGTCTCATCATTAAATATTTATTGATTGTACTAAATATAATAGTTTTGTCTGATAATGTAAATATAACGGCCCAATAAAGAAATATTGTTCTAATGAGTACCCAAATTGGTCTATAAAATTGTATAAAAGGCTTCCAAACAAATTGAAATTATTCATTTTTTTTTCTCTAATGCTTTTAAAAATTTTGTTTTGTGCCGTTTCACTGGTGGCTGCAATTGGTAAGAAAATTAATGTTACTATGTTTTTATTAGATATTTTAATATTCTATACCTAATGAATATGTAATAATGCAATGTACTAAGTCAATTATTTATTTTCAATAATAATGACCAACTGACAATACAATGACTACATCAAAACTTTCCTTTTCGCCAGTGACGCCAGTCATATTTGTTGTATAACTCCATAAGTAGCATGTAGCAACTAGTATTAGCGTAACATTGATTGCCTATACTTTAAAATGTTACCACTCATATTATTATTATTATTATTATTATTATCCCTTCATCTTGAAGACACTAACAATTAAAACAATATTGTGAAGGTAAAAGGTATAAAAATGCCTCATGCTGAATATACAGCAATTTTCATTTTAAATGTTATATTCAAATTTTTTAAAAACGATTCGGGGTGACCACTTTCGTGTTTTTTTTATTTATTCCTAGGTAGGTACTCTTGAAATAATTTTTCCTACGAGCGTGCGGAAAAAGCTCTTTTCCTCACGCATTGGCTTGCCGAAAGAGAAATTTTTCTGCACGTCGTCGCGAGGGTGAATGGTGAATGTACAATTTCCAGCAGATCGTAAATTTAGCCAACGCTACTGAAATACATAAATTTAACTTATTGTACAGGGTGTCTCAAATTCAAGGGTGACCACTGAGATATCGGAAACTATAAGAGATACGTTATGGCAAAGTTGCGCAATTTTATGACCAATTAAATGCCGTTTTGAAATTTGAAAAAAAAACGAAATTTTGCACAATCATTTTTATTTTTTCCTGAGTCTATTTGAAGAGCAATTTCAAAATAAATGTCACTTCATCGTTGTCACTTTTTTTTGTTGGTATCAAATTTCAGATTCGACGTTTCGTCTTTGGGCCACCATCATCAACTTCATTTTTTCAAATACGGACCTGGATTTTTTATTTCGGATTTCAAGAGCTTCTTATTGTTGAATTATGCCCTTTTAACAAGTTAATTAACGTTATTTTGAGGAGAAATAAAAAATACACAGCTGTAGCTTTCTTTTACATGTCAGGAGTGTTCGTTTATTCAAGTAACTGATCCAACTACACCAAGACCTTTTGACAGTATACAGTGGCGCCATCTTAGATTACTAGTCACAAACAAATTACTGAAATCATGTATACTCAACACTGATGTCTCAAAACCTATAACGTATCGTATTTATTCGAATTTTTTTTTTTTACTTTTTCGTAATTTCCTAACAAAATTCTCCTCTCTATCTCTCTCTAACACATTAAGTTCTTATGGAAAGTGCTAATAATATAATTTTTTTGAATAAGTGCAATACTTCATTGGTTTTGGGACATCGGAAGCTCTTAAAATCCGAAATAAAAAATCCAGTTCCGTATTTGAAAAATGGAGTTGATGATGGTGGCCCAAAGACGAATCTGAAATTTGGTAGCAACATCTTATTGTAAAGGGGGAAAAGTGACAATGATGAAGTGTCATTTATTTTAAAATTGCTCTTCAAATAGATTGAGGAAACAATGAAAATTATTTTGTAAAATTTCGGTTTTTTCCGAATATCTTCGGAAGTATTCGGAATTTTTCAAATTTCAAAACGGCATTTAGTTGGTCAAAAAATTGCGCTACTTTGCCATAATTTAACCGACCTTGTATCTCTTGTAGTTTCCGATATCTCAATGGTTACCCTGTACAACACTACCCCGCATGGAACGACTGGAAAAACTCCATCAGAATTACTATTCAGTAGAAATATTCGCGATAAAATTCCATCAATGAACGACTTGATTAGTAAGTAGTGAAACCAGGGATGAAGAGGCCTATGGCAATGATCTCATAAACAAATATAAAGGAAAAGTGAAAGAAGATATAGCACGAAATGCAAAAGATACAGAGATTAAACAAGGAGATAAAGTCATAATGAAAAACATGCTACCAACAAACAAATTGGGTACTAAATTTAACAAAGAAGAATACACAGTACTGGGAAGAGAAGGAAATGAAGTAAGTGTGACTAATGACAATTAGTGTTGCAGGTATTTCTTGTTCTTGTCTTGCTTTTACTTGTTCTTGTCTTGTTCTTGCATGCAAGAACAAGACACGAAGTGGATTAGCAAGAAATATACAAGACAAGAAACTAATGAGCAAGAACAAGATTTCTTGTGCAAGAAATTTGCAAGAAACAAGACTTCTTGCATAATTTATTTTAAATAATATTAATTAGTTAATAAATATTACTTGAAAACTACACAATTGCTTATTCCTACTCGCATAACATTATTTATTGTAAATAAATAAAAAAAAAAATTAACAAAAAATAGTTATTTATGCAACAAGTGTGTAAAGTGAACCTTTTTTCACGAATGTGAATTTTGACCCATGAACCAAAGGCTAGTGCGACAATCACTTGAATGAAAAAAGTACTTTACACACATATTACGTAAAAACTTTTTTCTACTATCAACAAAATAAGTGCAAAAAATAAATTTAGACAAATACTTTACGCACTAGCACGTAAAGTATTTTAACTTTACGCACTATAGTCTATTTCATTACATTTGATAGTTCAAATCGAGGTTTAGGACTAGTATGGGTTATAATCATATACCTATTATACTAACGTATATCGCGCCTTCCCCATTTTCCCAATGTGCGGTTTTTGAAGCAAACAAAGAGAGATAAAGTTATATGATCTCGCATAAGTCTATCTTTTTCAAACGAAGGAAAACCAGGTTATGAACTGCGCTGGCGTTAAACTCTAGATTCTTATTGGCCGGCGGTTGCCATTTTGCATCAAGCTTTTGGTGCTGTGTTGTCATGTCAAGCTAAAAAGTACAATGAATTAGGATAATTTTTTGAGGTTATAATTTAGTCGATTGTATTTTGATTCCAGAACACTAATAAAAATGAATATATTGATTTATTTGTCGAAATCGAGTATGTGTTACACGCACCAAAATACAAAATTCGTCATGTTTCTTGTGAATGTTTAAATAACTCGAAGATGAAAATAATTTTATTGGCAACCCTGCAATATTAGCTGTTTAAAATGAAATCTTATTGGAGGAATAACTTCAAATTGACGCATGCGCATTGGTAAAATAAGTTCACTTTAGACAAAGAAGGCATCGTTCTATCTCATAATGTTTGCTTCAAGAGCTCAAGCCAACCCGCGATATACGTAGTATAATAAATATATGGTTATAATGGTCTCACAATCACTATAGTTATACGGCTCTAACCCTGGATTTGTGCTATCGACTGCAATGAAATAGACTATAATAGTGCGTGAACTAATTTACTGGAAAAAAAACTCCATTGACAGTATCGACATCTGTCATTGATATGACTTCATGCACTAGTGTGTGAAGTGAAATTTTACGTCTTATATAAAGTTTGGTGCATGAATAGGACCTTTCATTGAAGGAGTTACAAAAATTTTAAAAATCCTTGTTCTCATAAAACACAAAAATTACTCTCAATAAAATGTGATGACCGAGAGGTGTCTTACGGTCGTAAATAGGTGTACAAATCTCAAAATAATTTCCGGAAAATATTCGAAATTATAGAAAATTGACTGAAATTTTTATAGGAAATTAGGAAATTTTCACCAGAAATCTTGAGAATTTTTGAGTTTCGAATATTGTTCAGTTCCTGTTCGCTGTTTTGTGAATAGAAATACCTAACTGCTAACAAAATAAAGGTACAGATCGTTTCACGAGAGTTCATACTTTTGACATCGAACAAGTCATAACTTGAAAAAAAAGGGTTGTCGTAGATTAATTCATATGACACATTCAATTTTTTTGACAAATTAAAATGAATGACTTCTCGTTCAAGAACCAACGAACGTTTTTGACGTCATTGATTTGTTTCAGTCAATTTCTATTTGTTAAAAAAGGAAGGCAAAAAGTACGAACCCTCGTGAAACAATGTTTATGTATAAACACATCTCATAAACTATAGTAGTCAAGCTTCATGTTGTTATTTTCTACTGGGAATAATATAAAATTATGATAAAATGAGCTTCTAACCTTCCTCTTTAAATGCAGAAAGTTTCAAAGAACATCTCACACTTCTTATGGATTTCGGTCACCGACAGATTTTGTTGAAACTTTGGTATATTATTTTAGAAGTCGGAATAAGCATTTTCTTTCATTGCACCGATCTTGTAGCGATACAGGGTGATACTATAAAAATAGGTCAAAGTTTTTTTTTTTTAATTATCTACTGGTAAAATACTGTAATCAACTTTGGTTGATAAAATAAAAACAATATATAGGAACTCCATAAAAAATGATATTTTAATTTCTAGCATGTACAGGGTGGTCCAATTTGAACACTTTTAATAGGAAAAGCTTCATAACTTTCTTATTCATGGAAATAATTGATTTCCGTAAAATACTTTCTAAAAGCACTTTTTATCGGCTTGTTAGCTTGATGAGCCACTTTCTCAAGATTTTTCTAAAGATCATCCATAAAAGAATATACGCAAAGTGCGAGTCCTTCACGGGCGAATCCCAATTTAGTTTTGGTAATGGTTTTGGCACAAAAGAGGCCCTGTTTAGCATCCAAGTGCTAGATCAAATATCTAGAGATGTTTCTGTTCCTGTATACGCATGCTTCGTAGACTATGAAAAAGCATTTAACAGGGTACAACATGAGAAGCTCATGAAAATTCTCAAGGATGTAGGCCTAAATGATAGAGAACTAAAGATTATTGCAAATCTCTACTGGAATCAAACTGCACAAATCAAGGTGGACCAACAAATGTCTGACGAAGTACGGATAAAAAGAGGTGTTCGGCAGGGTTGCATCCTTTCACTATTACTGCACTGAGAGAATTACTATCAACGGCGTGAACAATAACAATCTTCGATATACCGACGATACGGTTTTAGTCGCTGATTCTCTGGAAGGTCTTCAAGTATTACTTGATCAGTTGGCTACTGAATTTGGATTGAAATTGAACGCCAAAAAAACTAAATGGATGGTGATTAGTAAGAAC